AAAAAGTAAGTAAAATCAATCAAATGTTAATTAACAGTTATTTCTGAACTATACAATTAGGTAACTAGTCTTTTTCTTTATACCTTACTATATTTTCTAAGTTTTCTATGATAAACTACAAGAAAGGATATGGAGGAGGGAACAAGTAGGATATGGTAGGAGACATCAGACCAGAGAAATAAATTATTTATATACAGGTAATTGCAGCACTAATTCTATTAAACTGGAGACAGTCACTTTTAAGGGGCAATTTACCTTTAAATTTATCAACTGAGTGGTTGCAGATGCCCTTAACTGTGGACGGTGGAACTGAGTGCTCACAGCTGCCCTCCTGCCCGAATCGCCTGGGAATGAGGTTAGTGGCTTCCCGACGGATTCGGTGGGTCTGAGTAATTGTTCCTTAGGCTAGTAGCTCTCAACAGACGGAGCCCACCAGAATCAACAAGGACAATTTTTCTTTCCAAAATACAATGACAAATACTGAGTAAGTCCCCATAGAGAACAGGCACGTGTACTGTCTTAAGTTCCCTGGGTGATTTGGATGGGCATACATAGTCAGCAATTCCTGACTTACATAATCCTGTGTGTGTGTGTGTGTGTGTGTGTGTGTGTGTGTGTGTGTGTGTGTGAGAGAGAGAGAGAGAGAGAGAGAGAAAGCTTTAAATATTTTTGGAAGTATATATAAGAAGGTGGTAAAATGGTGGTTTTGGGGACATTTCACTGTATATCCTTTTGTGCTTTTTAAAGTTACGCAAATGCATCCTTTACCTATTCAAATAAAGTGAAAAGTGAATGAAAACCAAATTTTAAGAGAGCCTCTGCCTTAGACATTCAGCTTGTCAGAATCCACTTTTCTTTTGCTAAGGTAGTCAAAGTTCTTAAAGGGGATACTTTTTTTTTGGTAAAGTTTTTGCTAAAAAAACATCAGAGATTAAAAAAAAGTGAAAAAAAATGCAGCTGTGCAGTAGAACAAAGAAAAATAAACAAATTTTTTCAAAAAGTGAAAGAAAAATCAGAGAAAGTATCTAATGATGTTGAAAGAACACTGGAAATAAGTATCACAAGATACTAATAGCTATAGTAACTACTCACCACTTTGGGGTCACACATTCTACCATTAGGAAGTACGTAAAGTCAGCCTACATGGAAGAGATGAGGGTTTACGCTTTGCAGTGGAAGTGCAGAATTCATAAAATATCTCTGATGATGGCAGTTGCCTGGCTCACTTGGGAGCAGAGGTGGAGGTAAGCTTTTCATTAAATATCCTCTGGTATTGCTTGAATTTTCGTGCTAAGCACATGTTTTACCAGTTTAAAAAATATTTTTGTTTTAAAATGTGAGCATTTAAGACTGTGTGACTAGATGGAACTAGAAGGTGACTGACCCATGCTCCTAATTTAAAGTTACTCCCAGTAGCCCCTGAGAGTTCAAGGGGCAAAGGTGATTGCACACATCATCAAATACGTGGGGGCACAGAGCAACGGGGGCAGCTGGGCAAGTTTAGCCAGTGTGATGGCCAGGGGTGACCTGATGGGCTGGGCCCGCTGGCCCACAGAAGGATCGACAGGTGTAGAATCCAGGCAGGACCCTCAGCTCTTTAACCCAAGTGGTGGGTGATGCTAGTCATTTGATCCTTCCTGACCCAACACACTCACTTATAAATGGAAATACTCTTCCTTCTAACAACTCTTCCAGGTTGGGTATTGGGGACACATACACACCCACCCACACTCACACTACATTAAATCTGGAAGATTTATCTTCCATCCCCCCAAAATGCAGAAAACATTATCAGCACTCAGGACTCAGGGTTTCACATTGATTTTTAATCTTTTTCTTTGTTTACAGTGTTCTAGTTAAAAAGGCAATGAGAATTTATTGCTGGCCTATCTATAAGTGCATAAGGCACTTTTTATTTATAATTATTTGTTAAATATTAAATTTACATGGATAGTGCTTCGGGAGGCTGAGTTGGGAGGTTTGCTTGAGGCCAGGAGTTCAAGAGCAGCCTAAACAAGAGCAACAAAACAAAAAATAGAAAAATTAGCCAGGGGTTGGCATGCCCACAGTCTCAGCTACTGGGGAGGCTGAGGCAGGAGGATAGCTTGAGCCCAGGAGTTTGAGGTTGCTGCAAGGTATAATGATGCCACTGCATTCTAGCCTGGTGACAGAGTGAGACCCTGTCTAAAAAAAAATATATATATATATATATATATAAATATATATATATATATATACACACACACACACACATATATATATGAAAATTCTGTTAACATTTTCAAGCATTGACACAAGTCACTCTCCAGCCATCCTTTCATTATAGGGTGATTTTGACAACTGTTAAGAGAAGATCAGATAGGCTCCATGCTTACAGGCAAATCCACTTTCACAAACACCCAGAAATGAGACTCTAGGGGGGAATTTTGCTCTGAGATTAGTTGTCCTTGGGCTGGTTAAAGGTACTTACCAAATGACCAATATAAAATAATTCTACGGTCCCTGTTACTCAGAATGATTTTAAACTGATTTTTATTTACTAGGTTTTCTTTTTCCTATTCAGTTTACCCCTTGGTTTTAGAAGTAAAACATCCTTACAACTCCTCTCCACAAAGAAATTTACCAGTCTGGATAGAATGACTGTAAAAATTAGTTATCACTGAACATATAACGGGAAACCCACAAAAAGATAAATTAGGGGGAAAATCTCATTTGTCTATTTGTTCATCACCTGTTCTAATGTGAAGGGATCAAGGACAAGGAGGGAGAAGAAGAAACTCACAAACCAGGAGAAAATCAGCCGCCTGCGAGGAAGTTTTTACACATGCCCAGACATTTCATCAGAGGACTCCCTCAACGCTCACCAACAGTCAAACCACGTTTCTCCAGGCAGCACAGTTCCAGAAGTTAAAGGATTTCTCAAAAGGTCAGAGTTGTGGACACATTGCTCAAAACAAACAGAACAATGTACAAATCAGAGGAAAAGCAGACAGAGGCATTAGGGCTGTGCAATGCATGTGCCAAGAGTTATCCGACCAGCACCTGTAAGCTAGTCATCCTGTTCCACTGGGGAGGGAGTAAAAGAAGCTGCTAAAATATGAGACCTGGCATATCACTTCTCTCCCTGCCCTATGTCAGCCAGAACCTGACACTCTTTCTCAGAGGGTCATGGAAATGTAACCAAAAAAGTCAGGAGTGGAAGAAACCTCAGCACTCCTACTGCCCAACTCAAATCTCAGAATTCCCCAGGATGGGCCCTCAAAGTGATGTCAAGTCTTCCATTTTAACCAAAATCCTAGCAGTCAAGGGACCTACCAAGCAGAAGCCAAAGAAGCTCTGTGGTAAATGTTTTAAAACTGAAGCCTGCCCACAAGGACAGACCCAGAAAAAAGGAATGAACGCTTGTTCCATACCTGGAGGGATGACTCTAAGCTACCAAGCAAAGAAGAGCCACGTCCAAGTTAAAGGCCAGACAGAACCAGGCGGACTGGCTGTCTAGGAGGAGGAGCTGGAGGACGTGGAGAAGTGCTGTGGCGGAGAACAATCCCTTCCCCCGCTTAGCTGGAGTCAGACGGCCACAGACATTCCAGCAGCTGGGCGTTTCCTGGGGTCAACACAGGGCTTCTCCAAAAGCAATGACCAAATAAATTGTAAGGAAAAGATAGGAAGATAGGAGTGGGAAGAGAATTCGTAAGATTCTTGACACTTCAAGCAACCAACTGCAGCGTTTGGATCTCATTTGTACCTTGATTCAAATAAACTATTTTTAAAAATATGAAAGACAGTTAAGGGAAAATTGGATACTGACTGGATATTTGATATTAAAGAATTTTTGACTGATAATAGATGGCATTTAGTAACTTCTCTTACATGATTCCACTTTAATATATTTATGGATGAAATGTCTGGGATTTGCTGTGAAATAACCCAGCAGGGAAGGGAGGCACAGAGGAAACGAGGCAGCCATGAGACCTCTTGAAGCCGGGTGATAAGTGCATGGGGGTTCGTGTGGTAGTCTCTCTACTGATGTTCATGTCTTGTTTTCCATAATAACAGCTAAAATAAAAATAAAGCAAGTGTCTCTGGGTGGGTATTCACACTTCACCTTGAACTCATCTCCTAAGACTCCTTCCTCTCACCATCAGCAGGAGGACCTGTGCCCACCATGTGAGTCCAGATGTTCTGTGTTGATGCAAAGCCTTCTTTAAAACCTTTGCTGTCTGCAAATGCTCTCCAACCAGTCAAGGAACTGCCAATCAATCTTCAGTGAAAAAACTCAGGCGTAGCAACTTGGGCTTAGCAGAGCAGCTCATTGCTTTATTGACACCTATGAGTGATGGTGTAAGGGACGTTTGTGCCAGCAAGCATGCCTAGTTTGAGTGATGAGACTCACCACACAAGGGTCTACAGGGTCCTGCAAGGAGCAGCAGACCGCTCCAGTGCCCCAGCACCTGGGCACACTTACAACCAGCGAGGGCAGGGGTATTTGCCTAGGGGGAGCAGGGGATAGGGAGAAGACCACCAGCAAGACGGAAGGAGGTCACTGGGCATGTGCAGAAAAAAAGAGGCAGCAAAACCCCCTGCATCTAAATGAAGTTTTGCTCGGGGCAGGCTCTCCTTAGAAAAGAGAAAGAAACCCTCTTCCACTCCCTGCCCCAGCCTGCTCTTCCTCCCCCACAGCTCCCGCTCCGGAAACAGTGCCATTTCTCAGGAGGCTGCAGTTACTTACCTAGGATTAGGATGGCAGGCACATGGGGGCCACTCAGATTCCTGACTTTGCCCCTTCTCAGTATCAGCAAGTGGGTGAAGACAGTAATACCTCAACCAGATACCAAAGAGAAGAACGCGGAATTACTTTGTACCACAACTGAGATTTGTATTCTAACAGCCTGATGGCTAGGAGAAGCACTTATGATGGGTATCTTGAATACAATCAAAATAATCTAATTTATATATAATATTTATACTGATGATTGAAAAAGAAACCACTTTCACAAGAACAAAGTTATAATGCTTTAATAATTTAAATAGAACCAACTTCAGGAACATACACACACATACATAAAATCAAACAATTTAATTGAACAGTGTATTTAAATGCATCCGATTCTTAAAAACCCCCCAAAATGGACTCAAGTTCATGGATATGAAAAGGCAAATTTCGAAGTACTACAGACCAGAGTAAAATGGACAAGGTCATCACTTTGCATTTAACAATAAGACGACAGTCTGTGGATACATTAGATGTTTTATAAGAACACTTCTAGGAAATGTTAGAACAAAGAAGCTGTTAAAAAGGAATGCAAATGATCTCATAAAGATAAATTTATAGCTGACAATTTCTTTGGTCCTCCAAGTCATACTTGTTTTTACTGTAAAATACCAAACATGAGTTGTGTGCTTAGAAATCTACCTATAAATGTCTAAATATTAAGCAAGCCAATGTTTATACTGGGTTAGACTTAAAAAGGAACTCAAAATCAGCCAACACTGTAGTACTTAAATTCCAAATATAGGAAAAGATGGGAAGAGTTTTAAAAAAAAAAATCTCTGCCATCTTGCCTTATCATAAGCTAAATGGCATTACAGTGGCAGAGATAGGATTACCAAAGTTAAAGGAAGCATCACAGTTCATTATTTTTAAGGTAATGGGATAAATTTGGTTTAATAAACACTATCAAAGTGGAGCCTTATTTGGCACCATATCAACCAAATAAGAAATAATTGGGGTTTTGCAGGGAGCTGGGGTTTTTCTTTTGTTTTAATTTGGCCCACACTGCCCCAGTGGAGGAAACTTTAAGATAATCATTAATAAGGCAACAGCTTCCAGCATTAAAACACCTACACCACCTGCACAGAGTTGCACAGAAGACAAGACCCACTCAGACCACAAGGGAAGCCAAGGCCAGGGCCTCCTGTGCATCTGCACGGACGCCAACCACACAGCTTTGGTCAGAGCGCTGGACACAGCTCGCAATGCCGTCCACCAACAGTTCATTCTGTTTTCTTTCAGGTTCACGGAAGCCACGGTTCTGCAGACCTGAAAATGATGGGCACTCTCAAAAGTTTCTGGAAATTCTTAGAAAAATATTTCATAAGATCAAAAATAATGTTTTGAGGCATCTACATGGAAAACACAAAGTAAAATCCCAAGAAACTTTTAAAGGTAAAACTGTGATGACTAGTTATTTGCATTGTCCATACTAAGTCTTATAAGATAATGGCTTTTTAAAAAAGGCAAAAGTATCTAGACTCTAAATGACGTGATATTCTCATCAAGGCACAGAGAGTTAAATGTCTAAAATCCCTGTATGTTGATATGAGAATATAATCGTAAACAACTCTAGGGACTAATTCCCTGTACTTGAATTTAAAAAGAAGGTAGAAATGTGCCTTTTTAACTCACAGTAAAGTCAAAAACGTAGATATTCCACCACCTTCCCCTGGTGACTTGTAACTGGATAGTTAAAATATAAATATATTAAAAAAAAACATGTCACTGGTGGTTTAATAAACATGATCAAAGTGGAGGCCGTTGGACTTTGATTTCACAGAACAATACTGCACAAACACGGTACATAAATATTTTAGCACTTTCGGCACTACACCATTTTTGTTGGAGGAGGAAAACAAAAACCAGTGTATTAGCCATAGGTCTCTTCCATTTCCTATGTTCCTGTGCTTATGTGTCTGATTACCACACTGTTTTACCAAAACACGTGCATTCTCCCTTCCCAGCACCCTCGGGTTATCTGAAAGGCAGTGATACTGTGCATATGAATTACACTCTTGGCAGTTCACTTCAATATTGCCACTAAAAGGTGGCAAGAAGAAAGTAGAGGGCTCACCCCTTTATTAATTATATTTATTTGACTTTCTATAAATAATTTTTAAATACAATTTGTGACAAGGAATAAAGTTCACATCTGTAACAATTGAAAAATGGAATGTTCAAACAAGACCAGACAGATGATGCTACCAACAGTACACTCTGCAGAGCCACACCACGCACACGACCTCAGGTCCGAATGAGCGTCAGAAACTCTTCTCGAGTCTTTGGGTCTTCCCGGAACACACCCAGCATCGTGCTGGTCACGGTTTTGCTGTTCATTTTCTGTACACCTCGCATTACCATACACATGTGTCTATAAAAGGAGACAACGGAGGTTGCTTAAAGGAGTAGACAACAGCTGGTTTGGTTTTTAAAACAGAAAGCAGGCCAAAAGATTAATCTCAGTTCACAGCTAGCAGGTACATCAAAACATCCCCTCTTACACAAATGTTATCTAAAACTTTTTTCCTGAAGTTTCTTGTCTTGTAGCTTTTATTCTAATCAGTAGTTGGGTCCTTAATGCATCCAAAAAGGGGGGGGAAGAAAACAGAATTTTCTTCCTGGGTGAAAATTGTATCATTTGTCTACAGAGATACATAACTTCTAGATCAAAAGAAAGTCCGAATTCTCACTTGATCCACCTTCGGGAGAAAGACAGCACCATACTAGCTTAGGTGCTCAGAGTACGCTGGTCTCCCCAGGCAGAATCCGGACAGCAGTGCCCAGGGAGTCTGAGCAGCCCGGTGAAGGCAAACAATATCCACACAGCAGAGCTCACTGCACATCACAGAACGGATGCGACTATGCCCACAGGATGGGTGCAATTCTCATAACTCATTCTAACTTTAAGAAGTGTCCTCAGTTGCCCTTCGTACAAGTTCTTGGCTCTATTTGTTAAATATGTGACAAAATATTAGTAAAACTCTGCTTGGAACAACAAAGAGGTAAAGAAGACATCAAGAAAAGGCAAAAACACTACTGGTTGTGCCAATCTCTACATCACCTACATGTATGACTCCCTATACCTCCGCCATCCCCACCCCTCCCCCTCCAAACAAGCCTCTCCCATACCCCAGGGTTTCTTATATCAGCAACACAGTAAATGCAAGGGGCAAAAGAGCATTAGACTCAGGGATGGAAACCAACAGTAATGTGCCAATGGTGCCAGTGTGGCACCATCACCTTGTGCTGGGAACCCGGAGCAGCACTAAACATCCAGATCATCTTTTGTGCACCACTCTGACACTACTGAAGGCGGATACGGACTTACGTTGCTTCGACCACTACCCCGACTCCAGCAGGTCGCAAGGCTTCTGTGATTGCTACAGCAATTTGCTTTGTAAGGCGCTCTTGAACTGTGGATGTAACAGAGAGCTCGGTTTAAGAGTCTGACACAAACAGCTGGAGGCTCTTTTTTGTCACTAGAATATTTGAAATTTTTAAAAAGCAGACTTCTGTGAGATGTAAGAGCCAGGACACACTAGCTTTTGCCAGCTGGCCTTGTCAGCTAACTCAAGGAGGCCCCTGCTTAACACCCTCCCCTGCAGTACAGGTGTGGAGCGCTTGTAAGAACCCTGGAAGCCCGCCACCCCCCCCCCCCCATCACTGGAGGAAGGCATTAGAGTGGCAACTGTCCCTTACCTGTGCAGTAAAACCAACAGAGTGCTGGTTAACAGGCACTTCCATGGAGGTAAAGTAGAGCAAATAAATCAATCGCTAACAACGGGATTAACAAAGGGGCTACAGTTCGATTATACTTAGAGCAATGCTGAATTGAATTATACTTAGAGCAATGCTGAAAACCAATGATTTGGTTTTCAACATAACATAGTTCCTGTCCTGAATAAAACAAGAATGTACAAGAGTGCTCACTATAGCACTGCATGTATTTAAAAACTGACAAAATTGCCAAAAGTCTATCACAGCAGGGATTGGTTACATCAAGCCATGACATATACAATGGAATTCTAAATAGCTACCGAAATGAATGAGATAGTTACATATATGTGGAAAGAAATGTTTAAGAATTGGTAAGTAAAAAAAAATAGGGGAAAAAGAATGTGAAGCTAATTATATAGGAGTCCATTTCTTAAATGCAAATAAATTGATTTGAAAATGGTGATATATGGATAAAAATATGGAAAATGTGCTAATACAATAATGATTTCTTCAGAAGGCTTGAAACACAGTAGACTTTTTAAAATTCATGAGATTTTAATTTTTTTCCGCTTTTGCCAATATCTATGTGATAAGCTACTCTGTGCAATTAAAGAACCACAGTAGTTGACTGTAATTATTATACACTGTCAACAACTTTTTTTTTTTTTTTTTTAAAGAGATGAGGTCACATTTGCACTATGTTGCCCTGGCCTGTCTCAAACTCCTGCGCACAATCCTCCCACCTCTGCCTCCCAAGTAGCTGGGATTACAGGTGTGTGTCATTGAACCCAGCTTTTGAGGTTTTAATTTTTATAAGTCATATTTATTACACTTGCAATAGGACAACAAAAAATGCCTTTTCTGTAAGAAAAATGTTTTCTGTAGAGAAAATAAAGATTTTAAAAGCTTACCTTGTAGTCGTCTACTATAGATTTCTACAATCCTAGAAAAGAAAGAATTGTTTTAGCTAATCATAAATTGTCTGAAGTGAAATTGGTAAGACTACCTCATAAGACAAAAGGACTTTGCTGAACTAACAGTGGGGTGCAGGCAGGAGACAGAGCTTATGGGTAGAGGACAGAAAGATCCGAGTGTCACAGGGAAACGCAATCTAAAGGAGACCACCAACCACCACAGAGTGGGCCTTCCTTCCATCCTCTGAGAAATTCATCAGTCTCCAAGTGTAATGTTCATTTAGGAAAAACACATAGCTAAATTTTAAAGCTCCCAAGTCATCAATTTTATGCCATGTCTCAAGTGCTCTAATTAAACATATTGTTCTATCAGAGCTTAAAATTCAAGTTAAAAAGAGTACTTGTTAATTAACAGCACACCATGGTCAACTACTACATCAACTAAACCGATCAGGGTAATCAGGTGAGAGCTGATTAGACTTCTTCAGACAGCTCTTCATGAGATAGGTTTATGTAAGTACTTAGTATGATTAACCTCCCAAAAATAAAATCCTCCTGATCTTAGCTTAGAACACAATCTGTCAACTGATGAATTTTTGCCTTTCAACATCTCTCTATTTATGAAATGTAAAGATGGTCATGGGACTCACCCATCTGAGGATGACAATTCATGCTGAGGGCCTTTTCTTTAGAACATGGCCTTTTAGTCATGAATTTGAACTCAATTTAAGGATCATCTCCCCTAGGAGGCATTTTAGGGCTGTTCCCCTCACTATGCCCCTCAGAACTGACAACTGGCTCCTTTTTGTCCAATTAACATCAGTAACGGCCATGCTACCTGTCTACCACTCAACCAACAGCGCCCTGAAGGCAGGAGCCATCCTAATTCTCCTTTGTGTCCCCAGTAGGTATACGATATTGAAGGGATATAACTACATTATTTCATTTTGATCAAAAACCTGAGAAAGGATGGTTTTTCAAGCTCCTAGATGGGAGCTATGTCATATTTCTTACTAGGTCAAATTTCTGCATATATTACTTCTAATAGTTTTTCAGGTGATTAATCTGTTATAGAAGTAGGAGATGCCACTGATTTAAAAGTTAGTAATGTCTTCCTTTGCATATTCATCATTTCTTTTTCTTGAGTAGAATTTCAGGTACAGCATTAGATAACAGTGGTCATACCAGGCATCCATGTTTTGCTCTAATATTTCACTATCACCCACGATTGCTTCCCTGCTCTGGCAGTCAGCTGTTCTCATTCCAGGAGGACCATTCATGCAATTTTTAATGCCTGCCTACTATGTACATGGTTATGTGGTGAACATGCTTCCTGTGCTCAGAGAGCTTATAATTTATTCAGTTTATGAGTTTTCGTTTTCAGGTAAAGAGTAGGACTTGAACTTATGTCTTTTGAGCATTTCATATCGCTTCCCTGAATAAAAAAAAAAAAAGTATTTTGCTTTCATTCTTGAAAGATAATTAGTTGAATGGTATTTCTTGGGAACAGAATTTTGGTTTTACACTGATCCATCTGACTTTCAATACTGCCATAGGCAAAGCAGTTGTCAGTCTAAAGGCTGCTATGTTGTAGGTAGTCAATCGATTATTTTTCTCTGTGGCTGCTTTATATTAACTTGTATTTTATAAGTATACTCTACAATTTACTATGTTGTATCTAGGTAGGCATTTAATTTTATCTGACTTTTTATTTGGCTTCCTGAATCTGAAGACTGATATTTTGCAAGTGTTCTGGAAAATTTTCCAGCCATCATCTTCTCTAATATTGCATCTACCACAGTACCTCTGTTATCTCCAGGAACTGCAATTAAGGGCATATTATACCTTCCCACTCTTCCATGTTTCTTAAATTCTGATTCATATTCTCCACCTGTGTGTTGTGTTCTGCACAATTTCTTCAGACCTTTCTTCCCATTCACTACATTTTCAGCTGTGCCTAATCTATTTAAATGAGCATACTGGGTTTTAGTTTCATTTATCTTTTTTTTTTATTTCTAGAAGTTAGTTATATGTGGCTCTTTTTCCAATCTGCCTGGCTAAATCTGAAAATTTCTTAACCCTTGGTCAAACTTTTAGTACTCGTATTTTTTAATAAACAGTAAGTCCTCACTTAGTGTTGTCTTGGAAACTGTGACTTTAATGAAACCAATATTACCTTTACCCTAGGCTAATTGACACAAACAAGGGTTAAGTTCCTGCAGCATATTTCTGGTCACAAAAATATTACCGAACTTCTAAATAAAGACCAACACACCTCTAACATTGAACACTGAAATAAATGCAAGCTATATGTCATTTAAGAAAGATTGATACAAATAAGTTATCCAGTTCAGGGTTTCAGGCGGCTGGACACTCTCCCAGCAACTACAGGTACAAGGCAGAACCCAGCCCTGGACGGGACACCATTCCGTCTCGGGGGTGCATGCACACAAACCCACACTCAGACCGGGACCACGCAGACGTGCCAATTCACCTCACGTGCACGTCTTTGGGATGTGGAAGGAAACCAGAGGACCCAGAGAAAACCCATGCAGACATGGGGAGAATGTGAAACTCCACACGGACAGTGGCCCTGGCCAGAAAGTGATTTTTTTCCTCAAATGTTATAATGAAATGCTGTTGAACAAAACAACTTTACTCCAGAACCCATTGTATGTCATTTTGCTTAAAGTCATTTTGCTTTCAGTCTCAGTTTCCGAAAACCCATTGATGACATTAAGTGAGGACCTTCCTCTATTTATTTTATATCCTATATCTGATAACTCCACTATCTGTCCTCTTCAGCACATCATGCTCTGCTGACTCAACTCATGGTGGCTTGTTTTCTTTTAGTGAACTCATGCTCCTTGGAAATTCATTGAAGCCTGGATAAACATTCATCAGAAAACAAGCACTTGTTTCCGCTAACTTCCTGGAAGGATACCCCCCTTTGGGGACATTTTAAACTAAATTATGGCCTTGGGTTTTTAAAGTCCACACAGGTAATGATAATTCTGACCCCAAACCTTGTGAATGTGTATATGAGTTATTTTTTTCTTTTTCCTGCTCTTTCCAGAAGAGCTGGCAGGTAAGTCCCCGATTTGGGATGGGGATAGGGAGCACAGAGCCCAGACTCTGGCTTTAGTGCTCATTTCAATGGCCCAGCATAGAGTGGCGGGCAGCAAGGACAGCGAGACGGCAGCCTGGAAACAGGAAAGGGGCAGGAATAGGGTGACGTGGGCAGTGAGCACACAGAGGTCAGTGAGCACACAACAGCAGGATGGGTTCCTCCCCATACCCAGCCCCAAAATGCATTCCAGATGGAACAAAGATTTAAATATAAAAACACGGTCATACAAATACCAAAAAAAAAAAAAAAGTTTGTAACTACAGAGAAGTTTTACTACTTCTTTATGGAAAAATAACACTATAAAGCAAATTCAAAAGACAAGCCGCTTTAACATTCAAAGAGCTTGAGCAAATCACAAATAAAAAGGTAAGCTACCCAACAGAAAAATTAGCACTGGAACTAAAAAAACAGGAAGTTTCAGAAAAGATTCAACCTGGCCCTATTAAAGAAATGAAAATTAAAACAATAGATACCATTTTTCACTCATCAATTTGGCAAAGATTTAAAAGTGTGGTGAAACCCATTGTTGGCAAAAGTGTATAGAAACACACACCCTTTACCTTTTATTAGAGTATGAACTGACATGGTCTTTTTAGAGAGCAATTTGGTAATATCAAAAATTCAGCTTCCTTTAACCCAGCAAGTCCTACTCTAGTAATTTATCTTACAGGTAGATTCAAAGCATAAAAAGATGATATATAAAAATTTGTTCACCAAGGTACTTTTCTCCTTTTTTGACAATAGTCTCAAACTACAAACTATACCTATCTATATCAAACACTGGTTAAATGAATCATGTTAATTCTAGAAATACAAGATAGCCATTAAAAGGAACTTGAACTCTTGAGACTAGATGTCCAAGGAACTTCAACATATTTTACATTAAAAAAAAAAGTTTACATACAGAATATAAGGTATGATCTTATTATGTTTGTGTTTGCATAGACATTTTCCAGAAGGATAGTGAAAGAAATCTCTAGTTTTAACTCTAGGGAATGGAAATAGGAAAGAAAAGCTTTCACTTCATTCACTCATTTGTTTTGGGGTTTTTTGTTTTGTTTTGTTTTGTTTGTTTTGAGACAGAGTCTGGCCCTGTTGCCCTGGGCTAGAGTGAGTAGCACTGCAATCTCAAACTCCGGGGTTCAAGCCATCCGCCTATCTCAGCCCCCTGAGTAGCTGGGACTATAGGCACATGCCACCACACCTGGCTATTGTTTTTAATTTTTTTGTAGAGAGTCTCACAATATTGCTCAGGCTGGTCTCGAAATTCAAATTTCTTTTTTTTTTTTTTTTTTTTTTTGAGACAGAGTCTCCCTTTGTTGCCCAGGCTAGAGTGAGTGCCGTGGCGTCAGCCTAGCTCACAGCAACCTCAAACTCCTGGGCTTGAGCAATCCTTCTGCCTCAGCCTCCCAAGTAGCTGGGACTACAGGCATGCGCCACCATGCCCGGCTAATTTTTTATATATATATCAGTTGGCCAATTAATTTCTTTGTATTTATAGTAGAGACGGGGTCTCGCTCTTGCTCAGGCTGGTTTTGAACTCCTGACCTTGAGCAATCCGCCCGCCTCAGCCTCCCAAGAGCTAGGATTACAGGCGTGAGCCACCGCGCCCGGCTGAAATTCAAATTTCTATATGGGAAAGGTATAGGGTTGGCAATCTTGCTGGAAGGAAGGGCACCAGGGGACTGGACCTACATACAGCTATGTCTGCACAGTAGGCACTCTGATTTTCCTTAGACTGTATGTTATCAAACAGTGAGAGTAACTACTTTTAGTAAAGATGCTTTTATTCACAATCCTACCACCTCAGCCTCCCAAAGTGCCAGGATTACAGGTATAAGCCACTGTGACTGGCCACTCATTTGTACTTATGTTTAACTGGTAAGCATATTACTTTTATACTAAAGGAAAAAAGAACACTCCCAGCCTACCTTTGAACCACCTCCCAGTCACACTTGCCAATCTGGCCCCCATCCACTGGAACTCTCTTATTTGCCTTTGCTCATGCATTAACTATACCTAGAGGCACTTCTCCCACATTTAGAATTCTGCTTCTCCCTCCACCTTTGGGTCTCTCCAAGCCTGCCTGGCCACAGCCATCGTGGCTCTTCTGAACTTAGAGCTCCAAAGCAGGCACTTCTCCAGCACCTGCTGCTTCAGACTACGTGTCCCCTGGGGGTGGCTGCTGTGTCCTACTTCTCTCCAGCCGCTATAGTAGCTGGCATAGAGTCTTTTCCCAGTAGGTGCTCAATAAAGAGATCAACCATGGCTGCCCCAAGGTGCTACAACACTAAGATTTAATTATATTCACTCAATTATTCTAAGGCAAGAAAATGAACATGTTCTGTGGTTTTCCAGCAAAATAAAAAGGAATTTCTATTCAAACTAACTTTATTCTAGAATTCTACTAGAGTTGAACCAGATCAACTCACTTTGGCATTTTCTTGTTACTTTAAGGCTTTACTGTTTGATATTTGACTTTACTGGCACCGAAAGGTCATTCATTTAAAGGAAAGCATATAACAAACTTCACACAAGATTAAAATGAGCAGTGAAGTTTTGCTAAGACATTCGGCTTTCCTTATTCCTCTTCGTTCCCTAAATATCCTTACTTCTCATAAGGAATAAACAGGTGCATAAAATCTTAGTCTTCTATTCTATTTAACACACCATTTATTCAAATTTTTTACAAAATATCTAGAAGTAATATACACTCAGCTCTTTGGCTTAGTGTTCTATTTTATTCTTAAATTTTAATCCTATTAGTATAAGAACAAATTCCCATGCTAATAATCAACTCCTTTGTATTGTTTCATAAAAGCTTAATTATTTGAGATCTTTTCCTTTCACCAGGAAATGAAATAACCAAGATTCTTTCCTTCTACCCCCCAGTTACCATTTATTCCATGATCTTACTGAGCCACTCTAGGGGCCATTTCCCATAAAGTGTTAATCAAGGCCTAACATGATCTACCAAGCTTTTTTATAATATGAAAACTATCCACCTTTCACATATGGACTGTCTGTTACAGGCCCTAGCAGTGCCAGCATTTCTATATGGGAAAGGTATAGGGTTGGCAATCTTGCTGGAAGGAAGGGCACCAAAGGACTGGACCTACATACAGCTATGTCTGCACAGTAAGCACTCTGATTTTACTTAGACTGTATATTATCAAATAGTGAGAATAACTACTTTTAGTAAAGATGCTTTTATTCACAGTTGACATGAAATTGGCTTTACTTATTGTTTGAGAATAAGTTCCTGGGGAGGGAGTTGCTAATAAAAAATTACATTAACAGTAATTACCCCAATCACTATCACTACCCTTTCTCAGACACTTTCTGGTACTGCCGCCAGAGACAGATCACTGCAGAAAGCCAGGATGTTCTTGGATTGTGTTAAGAGGCTTATTGGGCCGCTCAAGATGGCTCAAGTCTGTAATCCTAGCACTCTGGGAGGCTGAGGTGGGAGGATTGCTAGAGGTCAGGAACTGGAGACCAGCCTGAGCAAGAGCAAGACACCATCTCTACAAAAAAATAGGAAAATTAGCCAGGCGTGGTGGTGTGCACCTATAGTCCCAGCTACTCCAGAGGTTGAGGCTAAGGCAGGAGGATCACTTCCTGAGCCCAGGTTGAAGCTGCCGTGAGCTAGGCCTGATGCCACTGCACTCTAGCTGGGGCGACAAAGCGAGACTCTGTCTTGGGGGATGGGAGAGAACTTTACTGCAGTGAAGCAATTAGAGCCATATTCTTTCATGGTGCCACATAGCCCTGTCTGGTGGCCAGGCTGCTGAGCAGGAATGAGGTCAAAGACTAGGGAAGTTAAATTTCTCTCTTCTACCCACTTTATCCTCAATCCCTAGAGGATATAAATGAGAAAATGGGAGTGAAATCAAAGTAAAAGAACAGCTGTGGAGGGCAGCTGTCAGATTGCTGGGGTGGTTTTTAGAGATTCCAACACAGAACTGAGAAAGAGTGGGATCCCCATTTCAGGACCATGATGAATCCAAGTGCCTAAGCAGAGAAGGAGCAGGACACAGCACCATAGAATAGTGAATTGGCTGCAGAAAATCATTTCTTCCAATTGTGATAAGGTCACTATAACCTCAATCAAGTTATTCAAACTTAGCATGGTTATTTTTTTAAAAAAAGAGGGGAGACACTCACTGTATGTTTGTCACCTTCCCCCCTTCATTTGTTCTTACCTCTCTCAACACACATGCACATACACACACCCTTCCCTCCCCTTGTCCTTTCCATCACCCAAAACTCACTAACTCTATACAGTGAAATTATAACAAAAAAGGATACTTAAGGATAATAAAATAATGCTGGCCAGAATCTACCAGAGATACAGGAACACAAACCCTCACATTAACTTCCAATTAAACATAGATGACCAGGTATGCATATCACCTCTCCTTCCTAAAACTCCAATAAAAATGGGAGCAAAGGAATTTTTTTTTTTAAGGCATGAACCCACCAGATAAAGAATGGAAAAGATGACTGTAGCAGAAAAGAGAGAAAAAGAGAGAGAGTGAGCATTGTGTCACAGAGCAGAGCTGAGCAAAGCCAAGAAGGCGCAGGCTTATGTTTGCAGAGGCAAAAAACCTAGATGTGAACTGACTGGCCCTCTGACCAAAGAGATGCCTGGAGGCACCCAGGCACAGAGGGAGGCAGGATGGAGGCTGGGGGCCCCACATGGAAGTTTGATTAAAAGTCTGAAAACAGTGCAGTCGTGCAGTTAGACCCCTGCCCACATTTCTTCTCCCACTCCTCACTGTTAGCTAAAGCTCCTTTAAACGACAGGGCTGGACTGAAGGTTCTCTCCTGTCAAGACTGTGGCAGTAGGAGGGTGGGATGTAGGGGACAGGCAGGCGATGGGGGATAGAAGGCAGGGGCATCTGTGTTTCAGGCCCTCAGTGTGTTTGTATCTCTGCAACTATAAATGTTCAGCTGCAATGTGGCTTCCAACTCAGATCCATGCTGGTGGAAAGAGAAAGCCTGATGCAACAGGGTCTCAGCACACAGGGGCAGGTCCTATAAACCTGTTTTCCTATCTACCACACAGTCATAATACTTACCTTGCAAGTTTGCTGAGGCCAAGGACTTGCTTGTTAGGAAGATAACCGATATGGACCTTCAGAGAAGAGACAGAAACCATGAGCTAAGTGAAAATACAGTGCTTCTCTATGACAAAGTAAGGAAACATAGAAAGAATATGGTGTTCTTACAAGTAGTATATTCATGATGATAGTGTATCTTTAAAACATCTATTATAGAAGCTTTAAGACTTAGAAAATGAAGTACTTATGAGTATGTTTTAAATTAATAAATTCAGTAAATATATGTGTGTGTGTGTACATATGAGTCCATTAATCAAATGAAAAATTTTAAGTATGGCCATTCTAGGACCCTCCTGTATACCGAAACCTGCACATGCTCCAGTCCAGCAGAACTCTCACATAGAAAAAGTCTGCCCTCCAGACACTCGAGTTTCACATTCCGAAAATACTGTATTTTTGATTTGTGTTTGGTTAGAATAAAGCCACGTATGAGTGGACCCCTGCAGTTCAAACCTATGTTGTTGAAGGATCAATTGTACAGCCCTGGTATTTCCCTGTGAAGTTAAACTCTTGACACAAATCTGAAAGTCTTTCCTCTAAGGAGGGGAAACATTCTCAAGTAAAGGCAAATGATCTTGCAGCCACATTAAAATGTATGCAGGAAAGCCTCCTTTAAATGGCAGATACTGTAAATACAAATATTGCCATTCCATGAATCACAGCAGCTTTAAGAATCCCACCGCAGAGCCCTGCAGCACAGAAGGTCTCTGTGCCCTTTGGTGCTCAATCTTTCTGGCAGGAGAAAAGAGGCACAGCTACCACTTGGCTGGGCAAGAACCAATACCTTAAGAACCAAGTTCTTATAAGACCTACTATAAGGCAAAGCCATTTCTTTCCTCTTAAAAGGTACCAACTAATATGTAAATGTGACCTCTTTTTGAGCCAAGTATTAAATATGGGAACACATTAGTTCTCTAAAAAAGTTAATAGAGTATGGTCATTTGTAGGCAATCAATTAACCTAATATAAAATGAGAGACTCATCTGCATCATGATTTGCCAATATTATTTCATTTGTTCATCTAACATTTACTGTATACTTGTAAAAATTGATCTATATTAGTACTTAGTGATTTTTTATCCCCATCAATTAGTGCTATGCTTTAGGAGTTTGAGAATTCCATCTCATTGCCTTCCTGTTCGGCAGGAGGAGAAAGTAAAGTAGTACCTGAATGTTGGGTATTTCAAAGCACAATTAAGAGTTAAAACTTTCCCATGGAACCAAGGGCTTCTGTACCTCTTGAAATTTTTTATACTTATATGCAGAACTATTTGTTTACTGTTTATACTATTTTTGGTCTTCTTTAAGACCCTAAGTCATTTAAATGTTCATTTTAGAAAATCATCACTAAATAATATATATATATATATATATATATATATATATATATATATATATATATATATATTTGGGGGGTGGGCCAAACCACATGGCTTTATTATACACTTGTGGACGAGGTTCTGGAGCCCCTAAATAATATATTTTAAAAACAAAGTTAGCAAGAACACACACACACAGATAATCACAGCAGAAGGTAACAGGATATAACGGTCAGAGGAGTTTAGGATCAGTGCCTGGGTCTGGCCCCCAGCTGGGCCACTAACACTCTACATCCTCTTGGACAGGTCATAGGCTTTCTGGGTCTAAATTTCTCACCCATAATAAAAGACAGAGATGAGTGCAAAGGTTCCCTCCTTATTAATTGTGGGATTGCCAGACATGCATGCCACTTGATGTGATATAATAGGAAATCTTCAGCGCTCCATGAACTACTTTTGCCAGAAATGTTTACCCTTAATCTTATAAAGCCTTAGGTCTAATCTAGTTTATAGGAATCAAGAGGTTGAATGGAACAAATTCAGAAAGTGGGATACTCCACAGAACAACTGGCCTAGCCCCTTTAATAAGATAATGTTATGATGGCGGTTAGAAGAGACTGTTTTAGAGGAAAAGAGACTTAGAGTCAGGACCAAATGCAATGTAATTGCAAATGTGTGACTCTTAATTAGATTGTGTTTGAACTAACCTACAGCAAAACATTTGAGACAACTGGAGAAATTTAAAATGAGTTATTAGATGCTATTTAAGAATTACTGTTAATTTTTTGTTTGTGGTAGTGCTACTGTGGATAAGAAAATATTTTAGAGATGCATATTAATTGCTAATGTGTGTAAAAAAAAAAATTTTAGAGAGGCTGGGTGTGGTGGCTCATGCCTGTAATCCCAGCACTTTGAGAGACCAAGGTGGGAGGATCACTTGAGACAGGAGCTCGAAACCAGACTGGGCAACAAGCAAGACCCCCCATCTCTGCAAAAATAAAAAATCAGCCAGGCGTAATGGCATGCACCTACTGTAGTCCCAGCTACTCTGGAGGCTGAGGCAGAAGGATAATTTGAGCCCAGCCTGGGCAACAGAGCAAGACCCAGTCTCTAAAAGTAAAACATATATATATTTTTTTAATATATATATATATCCTTAAATATTATATATTTTAGAGATGCATATTAATTAGTGATGAGTTATGCTGTCTGTAATATACTTTTTCAATATGTGGAAGGATTTATTGCTAACCTATTAGATGTGGTAATCAAACTGAGGTCATGTCTCTAAAATATTTTTTTGTCTTTTAGAGAGACATACTGGAAGAAATAATATGTTTGAGATTTGCTTCAAAATAGTCCATTGGGGATCTATATATAACAAGAGTGGTCTTACATTAATAACTGTTGAATCTTGTTAATGGGAACATGGAACTTTATTGTACTAGTCTTCCTATTATATATGTTTGAAATTTTCCAACAAAGAAAAATGAAAATTTCCATAATAATAAAGAAAAGATAGAAAGATAATAAAAGATAGAAAGATAATAAAAAAGATAGAAAGACCAATACTATTACACAAACAATAGAATACTAAACCTAAAATTAAAAGTGCCAAGTGTTGGCAAGGATGTGAAACAGCTAAAACTCTCATTACTGTTGGGAACAAAAATTAGCACAGTGGCTCACGCCTGTAATCCTAGTACTCTGGGAGGCTGAGGCGGGCAGATCATTTGAGCGCAGGAGTTCAAGACCAGCCTAAGCAAGAGTAAGACCCTGTCTCTACTAAAAAAAAAAAAAATAGAAAGAAATTAGCTGGACAACTTAAAAATATATATATATAAATTAGCTGGGCATGGTGGCTCATGCCTGTAGTCCCAGAAACTCAGGAGGCTGAGGCAGAAGGTTCCCTTGAGCCCAGGAGTTTGAGGTTGCTGTGAGCTAGGCTGACGCCACAGCACATTATCCCAGGCAACAAAGTAAGACTCTGTCTCAAAAAACAAAAATGTTGATAGCAGTATTGTAATAGCAAAACAAAGGCAACAAAACAAACGTCAACCAAGGGCATAACAGACAAATAAACTGTAGTATGTTTGTACAGTGGAACAATGTATAACAATGAAAATAAATGAACTACAATAACAGGTAATAACGTCAATCTTGCCATGTGGAACAAAAGAACCCAGACATAGAAGAGTACATGCTGTACTTTCCACTTACATAGGGTTGAAAAACAAGCAAAACTAATCTATAGTGTTAGAAATTGATATACTTATTACCTATGGGGACAAGGGATGGGATTAGGACTTAAGAAGGGACATGAGGTGAGCTCCCGGATGCTAATCATATTCTATTCTTGATCTGTGGGGTGGTAAGGAATACCTTTAGGTCTTGTGCATTTTTCTGTTTTACTTCTTTAAAAAAGTGAAAAAATAAAATACTTAACAAAAAAATGAAGCAAATGTGAACACATTTTCTGTAAGTCTTCTGTTAAAAATTATTAATAAAAACTCAAAATAAAATTATGATGGGGTTGGGGGAACAACACAACTCTGTGTCCTAAACCTACATGTTATCAAAGGTATGTTAACTACAAAAATCTAGGTAATGTACTATCTAGTTTGCATTGGATTCATTTTTACTAATATAAAAAAGATTGGAAACAAATTAAATCCACTAATACCATAACCTCTGTCACAAGAAATTCTGTAATCATTACCGTTCATGTCATGCCCTATGCACATACATATATCTTGGATCAAACATTATTCAGTCAAAATAAAGCAAATCAAGGGCAAAGGTTTTCAGAGCATATGGTAGCTACCTAAAAAGATAAATGCTACTTTAACCTCATTATTTTAACCTATGAACATGGTATTTAATATGAATGGCTTGCCCTGAAGGCTTTCAGCTACTTTGTTTTTATTCTTTCAATTTCAAGTTATTAGATTAGTCAGGTTGATAAAGAGCAACCATGTATTTATAATTGCAAATATTGGGATATTAGAAATTAGCAGCTAACAATTTTAAATATAATTATTCTGATTTTAAAACTTACATTATGCTTTTTTAAATCAGTAGGAAGCAAGAAAGAATGTCTTACCTTTCCAACAAATGGAACTAGATGATGTTCACACATGGAAAACATATCTATGTCCTTCACAATCACCATCTCATCATGATCTTCATCAAATATAGCATCATTTAGGACGTCTGAAATCAGAGGCTTGCTTTAGTAACATTTCCAATTTTATAGAAAGATACAAAGTAGAAAAGCTAACATGGTAAATATGAATAGACAGTCAACATAAAAAAGAATGTTAATCCTACCTAAAATACCAAGGGAATATAAATTAAAACTAGTTATTTTTCTCTATCAAAGTAGCAAAGTCTTTTTCTTTAAATAATATTTTTAAAATCCTTGATACAGTGTTACATGAAAAATTCAGGATTACAAATACATACACAGGATGAGGGAGAAGGAGGCAGGGAGAAATTATGCCAAAATAAAACAGTGGCTATTTCTGGTGGTGGAAATGGACTACTTTCACGTTCTTCCTTACATTTGCTTATACTTAGTATTTTCTCCATAATGGATATATAGAAAACCACATCTAAGAGCCAGAGCTAAATAATCTGAACCACGTCTAAGATGCATATTAATAGCTAGTGTGGGTAAGAAAATATTGTAGAGTGGCTGGGTGTGGCGGTTCACGCCTATAATCCCAGCACTTAGGGAGGCCAAGGTGGGAGGATTGCTTGAGGCCAGGAGTTCAAGACCAGACTCTGCAACACAGCAAGACCCTGTCTCTACCAAAGAAAAAAAAATTATGATAATTAGCTAGACGTGGTAGCATACACCTATAGTCCTAGCTATTCAGGAGATCGAGGCAGCAGGATCCCTTGAGCTCAGGAATTTGAAGTTACAGTGAGCTATGATCGGACCACTACATTCCAGTTGACAACAGAGTGAGGCCCTGTCTCAAAAAAAGAAAGACAGAAAGAAAAGAAAAATAAAATTTTATTTTTTTTTTTATTGCACTGACTTAGCCTCAACTATCTCATCTGCAAAAAGGAAGGTAAATTAGATAATGCCCAAGGGAGCTTTGAGTTCCCTAACGGTCTGTTTCTACAAGAACATCCTATCCTGGAGACCAAAGAGGGACCAAGGGAAACAAGGTACAACCCCCACCATCATGATATAGCCATGGTATTGATAAAAGGCAGGGACCCAAATAATGCTGAAGGTAAATGCCTTGTGACATGGAAAATTCTTCAGCTCTATTGTCAAATGAGAAAAGAAGCTACAAAGAAGTACAGTATGATCTCATCTTCATAAAATAAATATGTACACAGAAAAAACTGCACTGATATCTGGACAGGTTGGCAGACTATTAGATACATCGAGACACCTAGCTTGCGATTTCATGGATTTGGGGAATACTCAATATGTATACACAGTATCATTAGAGAAGAGATGAGACGCAGAGAGCTTTGCAGCCACCTACAGCTATTTCCCTCGGAAAGGCAGGCTGCAGAGCGAGTCACGGGAAGACGTGCACATGTCCACCCACACTGCCTGACCTTCAGTGGCTCCACTGCTACTAGAATAGGGGCTCCAGATATTGAGTCACCATGTAGACCACAGTTATCATCCCCTGAGTCAGGCTATTCAGAGAAACATTTGACTGTGCTGCTGAAAAGTCATTAGAGTAAAAACAAAAGTGAATGTGGGGAGTTCAGACACACAGAAACAGACAGACACCCTGTTAGAAGTGGCTGGTAAAATCCAGGGAGCAAAACGCTTAGTGTCATTCTTTAGTAAGTATTCCTTCTCCAGAAGCAGTTTTCTATTCTGAATTTTCTGCCCAACCTTCAGTCATATTTCTGAAAGAAGTCCAAAAATAGATCTTGAATGTTCCCAAAAGAATCCTGGATGCATCCAAGATTTTAACGCAGTATTATTGCCATGCACAGCTTACTAAAATCTTTAGTCACACAAGAAGTATTCCTGAAAGTAAAAACAAACAAACAAAAAATATTCCTTAAAGAAAGAACAAGAGAGAATTGTTAAATATAGGAAGCATTTGTTTTCTCTGGCAAAGAACAAGAGCACCCCCATTCTAAGCTCTCATGACAGCCATATGGTAGGTTACAAATCGGCCCTTGAGTTAGACAAAGAACTGGCTCCATCACTTACTAGCCACTGAACCCCGGTCAGGGCACTCTGTGCCTCAATCTTCTCAGCTGTAAATTGAGCAAAAAATAAAGTGCCTACTGCACAGGAGTACCATGAGGATCAAAGGAGCACATGCTTCCAACTACACAAGTGGACTCAGTGGAGGTTGTTGTTACTACTATTATCATCATAATTAAGATTGAGGGAGCTGCTAAGCTATGTATTCCAAGCACACCAATGTACATGAGAATTTAAAAAGCAATACACTCTGCACCTGAATGTTTATAGCAGCACAATTCATAATTGCAAGGCTGTGGAAACAGCCCAAAAAAAAAAAATAAATAAAAAATAAAAAGCAATACACTAAAAAAAAAAAAAAAAATCCCAGGTGGGCTCTCTGACTATTCTGTGCTTGAACAATGCCATGCAAATTGGTCTGGGACTGTATTTCTCATGCTTCCACCTCTCTTTACCAATTACTAATATTTATCTACCATCTGCACAGGGATAAAATTTACACTTGCATCATGCAGTTTTTGAAAGAGTACATTGTTTGATAGCAGGGCTTATGACACAAGAAGGCAACAAAAGTGAATTTTATAATTATAAAAGGGTAGGAATGTGTAAAAGTATTAATAAATAAAGGTATTACATTTATTTTACAATAATGGAAACAAGTTTTTATTAAAAAGCAGAAATTTTTTAGATACATAGAGATTTTAGAAATCTTTACTTAGAAACTAAGTAAATAAAAAAAAAAATTTTTAAAAGCAATAATTTGCTTGTAACCGAGTACAGAAAGGGAGAAACAGTAACTTGACAGTGAAGAAACCTGGCAGACATTACCTTAACCAAGTGATCAAGGTTAACCTCACTAGTAATAAGAAATATTGATATGGCGTAGCTCCTTATAGGATATGACAAGAAGGACACATCTCTGTGGTATTCCTCCCACAAACTGTAACTGCCGTCTAATTATCAGACAAACTGAGGGGCATTCTATAACAAACCTAAACAAGCACTCTTTTAAAAAGCATCAAGGTCATGAAAGACACAGAAAGACTAAGGAACTGTCAGATTGGAGGAGACTAGAGAAATATGACAACTAAATGCAATGGAAGAACTGAAATCCCAAATAAAGTGTGTAGTTTAATTAATAGCATTATATCAATATTAACTTCTTACGTGTCGATAATTGCATTAATATCATGGCCATGTGGGATGTTACATTAGGGGAAGCTGGAGGAAGGGTATATGAAAATTTTCTTTGTAATTATTCTGTAAGTCTAAATTATTTCAAAATAAAGTTTTTTTAAAAAAGCAAAAGGACAATGTCCACCAACTGGAATGTATAAGCAATGGAGTACTGCTCGCAATAAAGTAGAATGAACTACTGATGCAGGTAGTGCCATGGCTGAATCTCCAAAGTATACTACGTGAAAAAATTTACATACATCAAAGACTACTACCTCTGTTCTAGAAAAGACAAAACTATAGTGATAAAAAGCAGACAGGTGGTTTACCAGGGTCCAGAGAGGTGGGAGAGAGGATTTGGCTGCAAGCGGGTAGGAAGAAACTGTTTGGGGTGATGAAATGGCCTATATTTTCATTGTACTGGTAACCATATAGCTATATATCTATCAAAACTTACATCATACATGTAAAGTTGGTGAATTTTATTGAATATGAGTTACACGCTAACAAAGCCAAACTTAAAAATATTTTTAATATTTTTTTTAATTATAGTATAGTATGCAACCTTTTGTGTAAAGAAAGTGGAAAGGGGAGATATGAGCACACACACACACATATGCTTATCTGCAAAAAAGAAACACTGGAAGGATGAATTAAAAAGCTAATAAAAATGATTATCTATAAAAGACTGACAAAACAGGAAAGATGGGATATGGATGAAAGTGAGACATCTTTGAATATAATTTGTTACGTAGTTTTGACTTTGAAATCATGTAAATGTTTTACAAACTCAAAATTAAAAAGAAAGAAAAAGAAACAAACTAGTGACCCTCACGCGGCTTACTGCTTCATGTGGTCATGGAGCACTAATGTGTTGCCTGTATCCCATTTCATTAAACTGAATCCAGACTATAAACTTGACCTAGCCACATCATTTTTCTTCAGTAATGAAGTTTCCCTGCTATATTTACTTATGTTTTGCTCCAACATATCTAAAAGCTACCATCTGGGGATAATAAGAACAAAACACTATCACAGATTGTTTTAATTTCCTGCCTGTTATCAGCAGCAAGAAGGTAACCCTGGAAACGAGGATTTACGGCATTCTATTTCCTACCTTCGGTCACAGCCACAAAGGAAACCAAAGCAGCCTCCAGAAGTTACAGATGTCTCCAGCAACCCCACACAATGTCAGTTTTCAGGTAAGCCTTCCTCGATAATTAAGCAATGACAACAAGTAACACTGCTAGTCACCATCCCTCAAGTATCTCGTCTGCCAGGACCCCGTTTCTGAAAGTACAGGAGGCAAGAGAGGCCCACAACATGAGCCCCAGTACTTATTTGAGTATCCTCTGAAACAGTGGTTCTCAGACACCCCCCCCCACCCCCGCCAGTGGGCCTGTTCAAACCCAGATTTCTGTGCCCTACCCCCAGAGCATCTGATTCAGTAGGTCTAGGTGGGCCTGAGATTTTGTATGTCTTAAGTTTCCGGAAGATACTGATGCTCCTTGGGGAGCCCCTGTTTTGAGGTATTCCACGTTTGTGCTGCTACAGAGAATCTTCACATCTTCAAAAGGCTCCTACTCGAATATGTAGCTATCTACTGAAAGACAAACACAGACCTGTTTCTGCTGGAGACTAAGGAGGGAAAAGGTAAAAGAAAATTTCTGGAAAGATTCCCCCAAAAGGAAATTTCTGGAGTTCTTTTTGAGTGGTATAGGAGTTAGTGTTATCGAGGATATTTGGTGAGCAGCACCAACTGGAGATCTTTCGACGGCTGACGCATCTTTCTGCGAGGACAGCATTAAAAGACAGTGGAAGAAGACATGGAACCTTGAGT